TCATGGGTTCAAAATGACAGACATGAAAGACTGCAATAGTGGAATTGTGATCAAGCTTCAGTGTTTATTTTCACATAAAAAAACATCCGCTGGGGCTAGAGCAGTGATTCTTCTTCCCCAGTACTCTGTCTCACGTGTTTTAGAAAAGCTTTTTAACTTTATGAGAAGTAATGCTGTATCCTTCCTGTCACAGTGGTGACAGCTCCCATGTAACAGTTTTAATGGATCACTGAGCTGAGGTCAGGTCAGTTCATCTCTTTTTCCCTTAGATCACTGAGGTTGAATTCCTTCTCCCCATGAGAAGAGATATCTCAGCTATGGGGTATCATCACATTTAAAATCTTCAGTGGTCATCATTCACATTACCATTTATTTGACTGGCTTATTTATGTTGTTATTTATTTTAGCGCTTGACAAAATCATATCCTGGAGAACAGAGGGACACTGTCCTGCAAGCCTACATCAGTAATGACCTTCTAGATTGCCACAGCAACTGTCAGGTCAGCTGGAAAGGGTTTCCTTCCAACTCCTGTGTGATACTGCTGGTTTCTAAAACTGAACAAAATTTTATCACCCTCGGGAAGGAGGAAGGGGGGGAAAAAGGTGTCAAAATCATGCGATACGTTTAACTTCAGCATCTCAGTCTCCAAATGTTGACGGACAAAGCTTTGCATTACAAGACCACTCAATGTAGATACAGTTCTTGCAGACAAGCAGTTGTTTACCTCTCCTGCTGCTTAAAGTCTGTGGGTTGACCAGATGTCTACCCAGGTCCATCCTTACGAGTTAGCTCTTGCTTATTGGATGCTAAGTCTCTTTTTAAGTGATGATATGTCATAGATAATACACTCAATCCATTTCACTGACCTAGGATAAGAACTAAATTAGGACTTCAGTCTCAATACCTCTATCGAATATCTGATTATGCACTTGTAATAACATGTTCAGCAGTATTTGCATGAATTTAGAATGGATTGTTACCTTTCTTTAGAAAGGGGATTTGCTGGCCGGTTGATTCTGAAAGGTTGTTTCAGTGACTGATAAACCAATGTTATTGCTAATAAAAGTGTGACTTTTTTTCTCTTGTAATAGTGAATTTTGTGCATAGTTGAATTCTTTAGTTGTTGAAAGCAGTGGGCCTACTTGTTATGTTGTATCTTCCATTGTCATTGCAACAGTAACTTGTACTACTACTTAAAGGATTATTTAATCAATGATCTGGTTTTCTCCCTGTAAATTTCTATAAGAGGGGAGTTACGTATAAGTAATGCCTGAAGTAAAACAGATTATAAATAGCTTGCAATGTGGTGTTCTTGGTAAGTTACTAAGCTGCTTTCCGACACTTAGTTGTCAAACAGAAGTGTTCAGGTAACATTATTGAATTTATGTTCACCAATAAAATTAGGAGTTGTTTGTTGATTTTTCTTGTCACTGACTAAATGTTAATTTTAGATATCAGCTTTAACTGATAACAGTGTTGGTTCATTTTAGTTCCCTCCTTACACTTCAATGGTATTTTAACAGACTGAGCTGAGTAGCTTTAATTTGCTTATTTCTTCATTTTGCATCTTTCCCTCAGCTCCTATCAATAAAAAAGGAAACTGGGAAAACTTAAATCATATTGAGAGTATTTAAGATATCAATAGGTATACAAAGATTGTTGTGAAAATTTAACAAAGCCTTTAAAACATAGAAGAATAGCTTTGGGGTTTTTCCTCCCTTGGTGATTTTTTTTTTATTAATGCTTGTTTCATTTTTCAGAGAAGTGTCCTCAGATTATTACATTCTACAAGTGTGGTAGTCAGACAGTATATGGCAAGGCTCATCAATGCTTTTGCTTCACTGTCAGAAGGTAAAAGATTTGCTTAAAAATTTTATAATGCTGGCTTATAGGTACTTCACAAGTGTGTCACTGCATGTGGAAATTTAGAGCCTTATTTGCACCAGTTTTCTAGGGATTCACTGTCTTGTTACATGCAGTTTTTCAATATCTGGAAAGTGTTAATTTTGACACTCTATGTTCGACATTTCTGACTTCTTTTGATGATTTGTGGTCTTTGAGAACTTACCCAGGGGCTGCCTTTAATATAGTTACCAGTCTCTTCATAAGAGTTTAAAAAAAAAAATAATTCCCTATTAATTAAAGGTCCTGTAGGCAGAGCTGCTACCAGGCTGTGTACCAATAGTTAGTGCAGCTGCTCTTTCATCTTCCTGGTCCTCACCTGAATAAATTTTGTGCATCACTGTTAACTGTTTGATTGCATACGTACGCAGCTTCATATCTCTGCCTGTCCCAAATTAGCCCTTGATTTGGTGCTACTTAAGGAGCTAACTATTGCTAGGAACTGAAATGCCATTTAAAGGCAATACCAGGATGGCATGTAGGTTTCCTGAGCAACTTGGACATACCTGTTCTTTTCCTAGAGTGTACCAAACTGTGATATAACAGAAAGCATGTGCTGAAAGAATAGTGGATTCAGTGTGGGCTTCTGATGCTCCAAGTACCTAGATTAAATGCAACTGGTCTGCTAGACAACTCATTTGTGAAGGTTTTTTTGGGTCTTGGCACAAGACTGTGGCTTGTCAAGAAGAAACTGAGGTCAATATGCTTACTTTTCCAAGGAGAGGGAACTTTTCTGTCATAAACTGTTAATCTCAGCATCTGTTCTTTCATCACTTTTTGCACCAGGTCGTGTCTACCTTTCTCAAAACCCAACATTGCTGCAAATGCTGGAGGAGAGACTGAAAGCTGAAGACAAGGATTCCCTTACATGGGAGAATGTTCTTGGGGCTCTGCAGAAATTCAGCCTCAGGTGATGAAAGCACAGCACACAGTGGTGACAGCTGGAGAGGAAATACAGGCTAGCTAGACTCTGTTCAGGGAGGAAAGAAGAGCACTTGATTTTTCTATAACAATCATCAGAACCTCTGGTGACTGTTGAAAGCAATGTCACTTATTATGGAAAATCCAGTTTTGCTGACTGAATTAACCTGACTTCCTGTCAAGACTCAAGTAAATGTACATCTCCTGCCATAGCCTTGTGTGCTTTATATGTATTCCTTAACTGAACAAAGTGAGAATCTTAACGTAGAATGTTCTGAAGATTCTACATAGAAGAAAAGAATTGCATTACCTTCCAAATCATAAGGTTTTCATTATCCTTTCTGCAAACATTTTTCAGGGATTTCATCCTCATCCTGTTGATCTTCTTTCCTGGAGCTGTCTATGCATGGGCTGTCTTTTTTCTTACTTTTGCATTAGAAGTCTGACTTAAATGCCCACCATAAAAGAAACGTCATGCAAAAGCAGTAAAGGCCATGATGTTGCTCTCATTTATCAAAAGAATATGATCTAGGAACTCTGTTTTCACAACACTTACGAGGAATATTCAGCTCTGAATAGTTAACTAAACGTAAGGAGGTAGATGGATGTGTTTAGTTCTTGTTATTTTCATTCATGTTTTGTCTAAATTAAGACTGTTGGATATGGGAGGGGTTGGGCTTTTTATTTGTTTGTGCTTGTTGAAGAATGGGGGCTGCTTTAGGATTTGCCTCACATTGAACTTGTGTAGATGAAGCACATGTAAATGTGCTTTGGGTAATATTCTGCACTGCTTCCTGACGTGATACCTTATACATCTTTGAAATAAAAGAGAATAAATCTTCATACCCAACTGTTTGAAATTCTAAACCAGTCTTGGAGAAAATTGTTTTTTCTATTAGAGCACTTATCAATAGTGCAAGTTAGTTGAATTCTGGGGCCTAGGCACTAAGCTACTGAAAATCTAAAGTTTTTTTACTTTTAAAAAAATAACAGTTAATCTTATAATCTTATAGAACGTTAAATCCAGATACATGGCATGAGGGACTTTTTTTTTTTTTTTTTTTAAATACTGTGTGGTCAGATGCTCCCTTGTTTTGCTCAGACCTGCCGCAAGATCCAAGACTGAGAAAGCATATGACCTTTCAGGAGTAATCCAGATCCCAAGTACTAAGACCAGCAAAATACCAGCTTTGGCTTTTGTAACTCAGACTTACTGCCATTTGGAAATAATGTGATTAAGAATGGTGTTCTTCAGTAAGACCTTTTTACCAGTATATACTTTTCTTTTGTATTTTTATGATTCTATGATTGTAAAGTGAGGAATTTCTGTTGTAGAAGAGCACAGCTGGCTACCTGGCACTTAATTCAGTATATTCTTTGAGGGCAACCACAGATTGAGTTAGAATCATAGCATAATTAGGGTTGGAAAGGACCTTAAGATCATCTAGTTCTAACTCCCCTGCTACGGGCAGGTATACCTCCCACTGCACTATGTCACCCAAGGCTCTGTCCAACCTGGCCCTGAATACTGCCAGGGATGGAGCATTCACAGCTTTCTTGGGCATCCTGTTCTAGTGCCTCACCACCCTCACAGTAAAGAATTTCTTCCTTATAACCAACCTAAATCTCCCCTGTTTAAGTTTGAACCCATTACCCCTTGTCCTATCACTACAGTCCCTGATGGAGAGTCCCTCTCCAGCATCCTTGTAGCCCCCTTCAGATGCTGGGAGGCTGCTATGAGGTCTCCACACAGCTTCTCTTCTTCAGGCTGAGCAGCCCCAATTTTCTCAGCCTGTCTTTGTATGACATGTGCTCTAGTCCCTTATAATCTCCTGGACTTGCTCCAACAGCTCCATGTCCTTGTTATGTTGGGGACCCTAGAACTGTATGCTGTACTCCAAGTGGGTTTCACAAGAGCAGAGTAGAGGGGCAGAATCACCTCCTTTGACCTGCTGGTCATGCTCCTTTTGATGCAGTCAGGAGTTAAAAAAATATGTGATTTAAGAATCTTCAGAGAAAAGAACAAATAGATTTAAGCAAAAAAAAAATCTCATTTTTCAAATCAACAGTATAAAAATACTATTGTGCTATGGTTACCTATAGCAGAAGTAGTAATTAATTTGTTTTATGGGTCTGTTGTGTATAACTGGCTATTTTTAACAATTTTAAGACAATTGAAAATGCAATTTTAGGAGTTAGAAGCCTTACAAAACAATGTAGAAATTGACCTTAGCAGTTAGGACATTAAAAAAAGCAAAATACAAAACCCCACACCTCCACAATAATGTTTTAGTGCTCTGTGCCTATGGGAATCTCTATCTTCAATTTCTTTAGGCTTTGTTCATTCCTTTGTTTACTGATTGTACCAAAATAGGTAGTTCTGGGTTGTTGTTTTTTTTTTGTTGGCAGACTAGTGTATGGCAGGTAGATGAAGTAGAGTTTTAATGGGCTTATATTAGCTATAAATGTATTTGAAAGCTATTTATATTGTAGTCTGATTTTTGTGGGTTTTGTTTGTTGTTTGTTTTGTTTTTTTAATCCTAGGCGTGCACTGCAGTCAGCAATGATCAAAGATGGGCTCATTTTCTGGCTGGTTGATGTTCTAACGGATACAGATTGCCTGTCTGATTACACGCTGGCGTATTCTGTTGCTTTGCTCATGAATCTTTGTCTGCGGAGTGCAGGTGTCTTACATTTTGAATTACAAGCTTATTCCAAGAAATGGATAGGGAAGGTTTTGAATCTGTGTTGATGATATACCTGGATTCTTTCAAGTGACTATAATTAGTAGCAAGGATTCACATGACACAGAGATATTTGAGTGTTATAACCAATGCTTTGGAGCAGACCTCTTTCCCAAGAATCCCAAACTATAGAGAGCAGCTTCGCCAAAATCTAAAAAACTAAGAAATCTGTTAATCACCAGAAACCTCTAAGATTCGATTCTTTTTTTTTATCCATATGTGGGCCATTTCTACATGCCAGCCCCACTTTTCAAAGGACACTTTATACTTGTGTAACATATTTGTGTGTCAGAAAGAAAGTCAGATCTGAGTTGATAAGCAATGGTGAGGAGTTTAAGCGTCACCTTGTGGAGTGAAATACTTGCATGCTTCACTTCTACAACACAGAGATTCCCCCCAAGAAAATAAGGCCCTGCCTATGTCCAAGAAACTTAAAAGGAGTTTAAAGTAAGTTTCTTTTATAAAGGAAAGTAATGTAAGGGTGAAAGATTGGCTGCTTGCCATAAGCAAAAATAATGCCTCTGTTAAAATTTTTTAAATCCCTTTGTGTTATGTCCTGGCCAGGATTACAACTGTAGAAATCCAGAGTAATTCCACTGATTTCACCTCAGTTATGCTGAGCAGCATTTGGCAGGAACAAGGAATAGTACTGCTCTATGTAAATTATACTTAGTACTGATTTTAAGAAATATGAAAGGAGTTTGGACTGATGCCTTATATTTTTCAATCATATTTGTTTTCTCACTTTGCAGGAAAGAATATGTGTGCAGGGATTGCAAACCATGTGCTCAGAGTTCTCTCTGATCTTCTTGGCCATGAGAATCATGAGGTATTTGTACAACATTTGGGTTAATGAAAAGGTGGAAAATAAAATTAAGGAAGAAATGGAAAAAAGTAAATTGGTTTTGTTTCCCTTGTTAGACCCTCATGTAATTAAGTTGCATGAAATTTTCCTAAAATTCACAATTATGTGAATTTTATTGCATTGGGTGCTGGCCTTTCTAGGTATAATTATGTCTTCCTTTAACAAATGTTGGCAGCTAAGAATGAGTCTTTTAGATGCGTAGTTAACATGCACCTTCTTGATCACAGTTTGTGATGCTGTTTAAACGTCATCTCACACCAATCATCTCAAGCTTAACTAGTTCACGTGATGAACAATGTGTGATGCAAACCCATTATGCAAAACATCAGGTGCAAAGAAGTGAATTTGTTAGTAGGAATATTGTAAGATGGTATACTTGTGACATTCAAGCCCTCTTATATTTTTATCTACCACTTCATTTAACCTGCCACTTAACCCTTTTGAGGTTTCTTTTCTGTCTCCAGATACACTTGCATCTTAAATGCTAAATTAAACTACCATAGAGGAAAAAATTAAAAGAGATTAGTTTTTTCTACCTAATACTTTTCAGCACATCACTATGATATCTGCTGTCTGCTATATAAAGCATTGCTTCAGCTGTCTTTGCAGAGGGGCACTTCTTTAACCATGGAGTAAAATTCAAGGCAGGAGAAAATGCAGGCAAATACGGTATGAAGATGAAATCAAGGAGGCAGTATTTTTACCAGGGTATTTTATGAATGTGCAAGGTATTTGCGTACTTGAATAAAAATAATATAAACTCACGTGTCTTATGTTTATAATACAATGATTGTATCATCAGGTTTTTTGTTTACAACTTAAGCTGAAAATAGAGAATGAATTTCAGCCAAGTGTTTAGTCCATGTTCTATGAAATCATTAGATGATGTTCATCAGTTCTTTACAAGCAGTGTTTTGAATAAGGTGAAACTTGGCATACCTTTATTGGACTCTTCCACTAGCTTTGTTTTTATGACTGATGAAAGTTTAATACAATACATACTAATACAAAATAACATCCCAGTCTCTAGACTGAAGTACTTGGAAAATGTTATCATACTGCTGAAGTGTGTGGCTTAGAATGACCTTGAAATTTCCCTCACTGGGTACATTCTTACAACCTAGTTTGCACTAGCACAGCTGATAGAAGTTTTGTTTTCAAAGTTGAGGGTAGAAGGGAGCCCAGAGAGCTTCCTGAGAAGTTGTGGAATCCTTGTATAAATCCCAGTTCCTTCTCTTTCCTTGCTTCCTCTGCTCCCAGCCTAGTTTATTCTTTGTTTTCCCAAGGATGTAGCCAGAGGATGACTGGAAATTTTAGTGCTCCAAAAGTAACTGCCCAATAGAAAAGGTCACGTAAGTGCTGATAAAACTAGTTTGACAGATCTGGTGGCTTTCACTAGCCATAATACAGAGCTTTCATACTGGCTCTTTTTCTGCCTCTGCTGAAGGACAGTATACAGGCAGCAGAGTGAGAGGATGTTTGAACCTGTTGCAGCTTTTATCCTGCCTAAGGCTACAATGCTCAAAACCTGTTTTGAGTTCATGCTACCAGTCTTGTTCCTGCTTTTTGTCTCTCTTTTTTGTACTGCCACTAGTGTTTGTCAGAAACTAACCTTTTCCTGCTTTTCTTTTTTTTCCTTTTTTCTGTTTTCTTTTTCTTTTTTTGTTTTTTTTAAGGCTAGGTCAGGTTGCAAGAATACATCTTCAGAAGGGGTGGGAAGGAAATTGACATGGAGCAGTACTGATTTAAATCAAACATATAACGGTATATTTGCATCCTAAAAGTTCACTGCTTCCCAAGTGGGAATTTTTGCAAGTGCAGGCTAGCCTGATTTAATTCTCTGAACATAGTTGTTCTGCACTTCACTCTTAAATTTTGGCTATAGTCAACCAGGGTGAACATGTGTTTTTCTTAGTGATGTGATTATTTCTTCCTCTTAGATACAACCATATGTGAATGGAGCACTCTATAGCATTCTTGCCATCCCTTCTGTCCGCGAAGAAGCCAGAGCAATGGTAAGAAGTGCTGCTTTGCATAACACAAACATCAATGCATGTGCCAGATGGCATGCACACAGGTACCTGTTGCGCACTGCGCAGCAGGGTTGTGAGGTAGGAGCTATGGCATTTTGAGAAGGGAATCCCCTAGAGGCTCTTCACCTTTCATACCTAGTATTCAGGCAGGTATGAATGTAGGTCACAAACACTTTTGGCATATTTGCTCGTCTTTTCCCAGAAGTGGAGCCCCAACAGTGTGAAGGATTCTGCCTAAATTATATATTAAAGGTGTTATTTTTAGAATAGTCTTGTCCATCTAGCATTTCATACCCAGGCTTAGGAGATGCTTTCATCTGACCTGCTATTTCTTCCCCTAATTTAACTCATTCTGCACCAGCAAATAGCCACTAAGGGGATGAGTTCCTCTTGCTGCTTTTCTTTCTTCCTGTTAATAGACGTAGTTAGCTGGTGAAGGCAGCACGAGGAAGGTTTAAGCAGAACTGGGAACTGGTCTCCTGTGAAAGTTAGTTTAATGGTAATGAATGTGTTTTAACTTCTGGATTGAGGAAGCTGCTCTTGGGATAGCAGTGTTTCTTTGTATCTTAACAACTAACCTAGGGAGCTGTGCAAACATAATTGTCAGATGTGTTATCTCACAGAGCACAGAGGATTGGAAGTCATCTTAGATGATTAAAGACACACCATTGGATCTGTAAGGGGCCATAAAGAGAGAAACTGGATTTAAGAGAAGGTCAAAGTCTGTCCTGCTTTTTGCCTTTCTCCTCTGAACCTTGCACTGTTGTCTCTGTGAATGCAAATTCACCTTTTTCTGTTGACTACTGTGTACTGAGTTCAGAAGTCAGAAGCAGCAGATCTACTGGAAAAAAATTGCTGTTCATCGAGGCTACTTCTGCAATTAAACTTAGATGCAATCTAGACAGCATATTTCTTTTGTCTTTGGGAAGTGTGTGGACAAAATGGAGAGCTGGAGCTGGACACATTGGTTTGTTTCATGCTGCCTCTGTTTTTCTTAACCAAAAAAAAAGACATTCTAGCTAATAAAACACTCTCACTGTGATGACATGAAATACTAAACTAGCGATGTTTTCTGCTGTATTCAGGGAATGGAAGAAATTCTGCGCTGCTTTGTCAAGGAAGGAAGTGCAGAGATGATCCGACAGACTGAATTTATTATCAAGCAGCTCAATTCAGGTCAGAATAACAGATCTGAGATGTAAATCTTTCACAAAAGCCGTAAGAAAGCTCCTGTTTTTACTTGGCATTGAAACTCTCAAAGAATAGTAATAGTATGATGGTCTGAGGGTGAGTTGTGAATGTCAGGATTTGAATGTCTGGTGTGTTTTAAAATATCCTTTTTGTGCTACAGTTATAAAGAATAAATAAAACGATGAGTAGGTCCAATTCCAAAGTTTTGGGACTGTAAATAGAGTGACCTTGACTGTTTGTTTTCTTGCCAGTGGCCTCACGGTAATGAGAGACTGCTGTCAACTGCAAAAATAAACAGGTGATACAATTCCTTTTTAAAAGTGCTTGTTAAGCACTGTATTGCCACTGTACATTAGTTGTTCATGAAGGTTATAGAATTGCTCCTTTTCTACCTGTGAATGCTATTTTTAAAAGGTTTTGTCTGATCGGTAAGTTAAAGTTGAGAGTACAAATTTCCAGCATAAGCCTGGCTGCTTTTTCTAAGGAAATGAGGTTTTCCAAAAGTTACTAAGTATTCTACATAAGCACTATCTTTTTATGTCTAAAAACAGTATAATACTGAAGCATTTGTAGGGAGAAGTAGAGTCTTCTATTCAAAATTAGTTGAGAAATAGACAAACACTTTCACTCATGCCTTGTTGGTAAATACACTGAGGCATTGTAGTGGGATTTGTGAGGAAAGAGCTATTCCACAGTGTTTCTTTTTCTGCCATTTTCCCAGATATGAATTGATTTCAGTGATTTCTAGAATGCTTTATAGGAACAAATAATTTCAATAGTCATCTTGAACAGAACAGGATGTCTATATGACAAGCAAGCTGAATCTCACTCTTTTGAAAGAGGGGTAATAACTAGAGATTCTGTTAAGTCATACATGTACTCTTAAAACATTTTGATTTGCCTTTTTCTAGAAGAGCCATTAAATGATGGTATTGTGTCTGATGATGAAGAGGAAGAGAACAATAAGGAAGTAAGTATAAAGGCTTTCTGGCACCTTTTAGAAAAATCCTCAATCTTCTAAACAGAAAATATTTGTGTCAATAAGTCAGACTTCTTTTTCTTTTGGTGGGTTTTGATTTTGTTTTTTACTTTTATTTAATTATTCTTGTATTAACAAGAAAATTGGATCTGTTTCCATTATCTTTTCTTCTTTTGAAGTCCTCTTTCATTTTGGCATATCATCTGTGATAACTGTGGATAACTAGAGGATGATAGCTTGAAATAAGTAAAGATGAGTTACTGTAGCAGTAGAAATCTTGCTTTTGAGTACAATTGAAAAGAAAGGAAGCAAATGAACCAGTATATTATGAGAATAGTTTATAAGCAGGTTGTCACTGCTTATAAAGGTATCATAATCTATTTGGGGTGTTGTCAGCTTCTTTTGCTGTTTAGAAACTTTGAAATGTATTTAATAAATTGTCTGTGTGTAATGAAGGGAAAGA